AGAATTTTTTTTTTTATGTAAAAGTTAATAGAAATGTGTTTTGATAATTATATTCAATCAATATGCACTAGAAAAGATAAAAGCTAGGATCTTTAGTAGTTTTTAAATTAAAATGTGAACATAATAGTGTCAGAGGTTGATAATTTTTTGCCAACCTTTTCTTTGTTGTTGTGAATAGTTTATTTGTTGTTAAATAAATTTAATTTAATTACTTAGTTAAAAAATGGGGTAAACTACTAATTATATTTCGAGTTCGTTCACCACCACGTCCCTGGTAGTACCACCATGTCCCTGGTAGTTAAAAAATGGGGTAAACTACTAATTATAATCCGAGTTCGATCCTCACCACGTCCCTGGTAGTACCGCGCTCAACTCGTTTCTCCGCGCAGCGGCCTTGCTTGTCAAGGTTCGTGTTTCGGAGTTATAGAGTTGAGAGAGGGTTATAACCACAAATAAGTAGTCTCCTCGTCTGTAGTGGCCTTCTCGGCCTTGAGGAGGTGAATTAAAATAAAAAAAATATATATATATATTTTTTTTATTTTAATTTTAAAAATTAAAATAAAAAAAATATTTTTAAAATAAAAATTAAAATAAAAAATTTTTATTTTTATTTTAAAAATATATATATATATATATATATATATATATATATATATATATATATATATATATATATATATATATATATATATATATATATATATATATATATATATATATATATATATATATATATATATATATATATAAACACTGTGGACAAATAATCTTTTGAAAAAAATGTTGCATGAAGTTGTGAATGCTTTTTTTTTGTTTATTATTAATATTTTTAAATTTAATTAGTTTATTTCATTAAAATAATTAACAAAAAAACTTATTCAATCTAAAACAAATTGTTTTTTATTTTGAATTGAGCAACTTTGCTTTTGGGTTTTCCCAAATACCAGTTACCGCTTCTCCAACATAAGTTGTAATCTGAAATGGAACAATGCATGTAGAAACAATGATTCTTCTTTTTTTAAGATAAAAGAGACATTTTTGTTTTACTTTGGCTAGGCGAGTCTGCTTTGTAATAATGATATACAAGATTTCTTTTTTTTTTATTTAAAATATGTGGTCTTGTAATTTGTATATTTATTTTTTATTGCATCTCAATATTTGCTGTGTTAGTGTTGCATGGTTTCAATGGTTACAGTAACATCCTTTGCAGTTAATAAAAATCATGTTGTTACAGTATCAGTAAAGGTTGTTACTTGTTTCAAACAAATTTACTTTTTGTAATTTTTAATTTTGCTTTAATTTTTTATAAGTTGAAAAAATAAAACATGTTTAAAAAAGAGCTGCATGTTTACATATTTAAATAGAAATAATTCAAATCGGCAAAAGTTTAGAGGATATTACAGAAAAGCATATCTGTTGCCTAAAAGTAATGAGTTGCGGTAAAATAAATACAAAAACTGCCTGCTACTGATACAGTAGTACTGATACTGTATCAGTACTACTGATACAATAGTACTAATACATAGAAACTAAGGATTACATTACATTAATTTATTTCAAAAAAGTATTAAAGATGGCAATTATGTCATCCAACTGTTTATATAAAAATTTACTTTCACTTTCACTCTCTGATCTGCTCATTTTGTCGACAAATTTAATTGTGGTGGCTGTTATGCAAGTTATATTGGAGAAACCTCCAGACATTCAACAACTAAAATAAAACAGGGTGACAAAATATTCTATGTATATAAACATAATTTTATCTATTAATTCCTTTAATTAATTTTTATTTAATTTTTTGATTAATTTAATTAATTTTAGGCTAGTTTATATTTTTTTGAAGATTTTTTTGAAAATGTAAAATGCTATAATATTATAATTTTAATTTATAATTTAATTAATTTTTATATAAATGAACAATCTGAATCATTATGTGTATTTCTGTCTGTTAAATTTTTTCTATTTTAAATTTTTTTCCAGAGTTTGTTATTTTTATTGTAAAATCTTTTGAAAATGTAAAAAAGGAAACATGTTAAGAATAAAAAACATTTATTTGAATAGGCAATTAAGGATTAGCACCAGGCTCTTCAAATGCTTTGCAATTCAACAGAAGAAAAGTATAAAAATCTACAGTTTGAATACCAAGAGTTGGTAAGTTGAATTTTAATTTAAAGTTTTATGCAATTGTATAAACATGAGAATAAAAATTGAATGTTTATTCCACATTGTGTATATTATTATTTCAAATTAGAACTTTGCAGTACACACAATTGCTTAAGTAATACAGGCAAGCAACTGTGTTTTCTAAATTTAAAAAAAATGTTAAAAAGTTACAAAAATTATTTGATTTAAGTATGTGAAAAAAAATGATTTTGTCAACAAATCTGTAGTTACCAATCCAAAGGAAAAATATTTCAAACTAACCTGTTATTTTTTTTTTTTCTGAATTTAGGTAAAACAAGAAAATATTATAATATTTTGATAAAAAAATGATAATAAATACAAATGGGTCAAAAATATAAAGTAAATAAAAAAATCACTAAATAGATAAAAAATGTTTAATAAGATAATTATTTAAAAAAAAATAAAATTAACAAACACAAATTGTTCTTTTGTAATTTTTACTTTGAAATCAGTATCAACTAAAAAATTTTATTACAGAGCTTTTTTATTTAAAATTTAATAGACACCTGCATGAGCGTCTTGTCTTTGCACTGCATGTTTAACTAGATCATAACACCGAAAGTATCAGTGGCTAGTTCCAGATCAACTGGCAAATCTAACTCGTAAATTCAACACCCCAAAAATATTTGCTTTCAAATTGGGGAATTTCAATCACAATCAAGCCAACAACCTACTTTTGTCGTCTGCGATATTGTGTACTGGGAACTGTTTCTTCTGAACACCACAATCAATGCAACAACCTACTACCTGCAATAACAACCATCTATTCTGAATTCAAAAAGTTTCAAGCAGAACTATTTTGAATTTTCTGAGGCATGACAAAGTTTTGTCTCATTAACTCTCTATAACAGACTTAGTGTTTTAGATTATTATTATTATTATTATTATTCAGATTATTATTTGTTCTAAAGAACAGCTTGTACAACGAGTCACTTCAACAGGTCCTCAATCATTTCTTGGACTCAAAGTCTGTCTCATTCATTCTCCTTTTGAACAGACTTTTTGTTTTAGATTATTCATTTGAGATTACAGATTGTTATTTTTTGTAATCACTAATCAAAAGCTTGCATAACAAGTCACTCCAACAGATACTCAATTATTTCTTTGACTCAAAGTCTAAAGAGTCTTAATCAATAGCATTTGTTCTTTTTCTAAACGTTATCAAGAGGTCATAGACAATAATGGTACATATATAAAATTAGCTTTGAATTTGAAAATTTCAAATAAATTTAACAGATAATAAATTTAAAAGACTAATGATCTGTTTACATTTTTTAGCCGACCCAATATTTTTTAAAAACTTTGGCATATAAAATTCGCCGAATGGTCACACACGAGCAGTGAACGCCTGAGGGAAAAATGAAGTACATTAGAATAAAGGAGAATTCTTTATTAGACAAAGCATATTTTGACAGCTGTCAAGACAAAAATAAAGATTAATAGAGGAATATTTAAAAATAAGACAAGCTATACAACCAAAACAGTACTCAACCATAATAACAATAAAAAAAAAATTAAAAATTAAAAAAAATAAAAACAAATAATAATAATAATATATATATATATATATATATATATATATATATATATATATATATATATATATATATATATATATATATATATATTATATATATATATATATATATATATATATATATATATATATATATATATATACATATATATATATACATATATATATATATATATATATACATATATATATAACAACAATATATAACAATGAAATATATATAACAACAAATTAAAATTATGCTAACAACAATGAAAGGACTAATAATGGAAAAAAAACATTAATGCTAATGTGTAAACATAATTAGTGTAGTGATAAGTAATAATCATCTCCTCAGAGTCGTGTCTATTATTACTGGCGTTTTAATGAGGATCAGCATTTATAACTAGTTTATCCCGTCAGACAAACGTCATTGCCACTTATGCTTTACCCCGCGACTTACGCCTATTCCATACTGCAGTAAAAAGGGACTCACTACAAATAGCCAAAACCCAACCAACCCTAAATTTGTAAAGCACCAATATTTTTTTTGATGATATGATATAAAAAGTATAGATTTACTGAACAAACGAAAATAAAAATAACTAAATAAAACACTTACCGTACCACCAAAAGAAAACATGAAAACAAAATAAATTAAAATTCTAATAGAAACATAAAAATATTAATCAATTTGTTTTAAGAAATAAAACCAAATAGGTATTATTAGCATAAGCAAGCCCAAGATAATTAGAAAGCAGTATACCTCATTAAAAATTTTTTTTAATAAACAAAACAATACCCTTAAATAAACTCTAACGCTGTCATAGATACCTCATTCGAAATATGATAACCAATCAAAAGTGTAGGAAAATGAGTAACCCGCGAAACCCAAAATCATAACAATAATAGAATAATATGTGATAGCGAAAAAGAACGTTGCACAAAAACCTTAAAAATGTAAGCGACATAAATGTAAACATTAAATGAAGGATATAAAAGTATTCTCTGAATAATAATAAAGATGAAAATTGTGTATGTGAAAATTAAAACAAAGCTGAGTAATGAATGCAAGATAATATAACATAAAAGTTTCTGTAAACAGTAATAATATGAAAATCAGGAGATAAGTAATATATTAATAAATATAGCAATAAGACTAACTAAATATTGTAATAAAACCAGATTTTAAGCCAAATGAGTGGTTAAAAAATTAGTTGTGGGTAATATATCAATGATATATATCGTGATATAAAAACGATGTAGAAAGCAAAAAAAAAAATTTTAAGAAATGAAATTTTCTCTACGGTCAGAACTAAAAGAAACTTTGAGACCATATCTAAATCGAAATTTCCGAAAAGTAAAATTTTCTCTACGGTCCGAATTAAAAGTAACTTTGAGACCATATCTAAATCAAAATTTCCGAAAAATAAAGTTTTCTCTACGGTCCCATTTGAATGTAACTTTGAGACCAAACAAAGATAGTTTATCTATGAAAGAACAAAAAGCATGCAAAAGATGTAAACAGGCTGTATGTGTATAAGGGTGTATAGGTGTAATGTGAATGTCTGTGCTGTTTATGTCGTTCAGTAGAGTCTTGTATTGTTAGTAACCAGCGTAAAAGATTTGTCTCTGAACTAAACCAAGCCAGCCCAGCCATACTCCAGAAAACCATGATGGATTAAACACCTATGCATGGATTTATAACTGACATATGACTAAAAAGCTAGCCCAGGCATCTTCCACAAAAATCCTCTTTCGCGGTGACAGTAATTGCGATTAGGAAAATAGTCGTGCTCAATGACCGTAACACTAACCCTTACGGGCTAGGCCCAATATTATTTAAAAACTTTGGCATATAAAATTCGCCGAATGGTCACACACGAACAGTGAACGCCTGAGGGAAAAATTAAGTACATTAGAATAAGGGAGAATTATTTATTAGACAAAGCATATTTTGACAGCTGTCAAGACAAAAATAAGGATTAATAGAGGAATATTTAAAAATAAATAAGACAAGCTATACAACCAAAACAGTACTCAACCATTATAACAATAAAAAAATAAAAAAAATAAAAAAATTAAAAAAAATAAAAACAAATAATAATAATAATAATAATATATATATATATATATATATATATATATATATATATATATATATATATATATATATATATATATATATATATATATATAATATAAAAATAAAAAAATAAAATTAAAAAATTGTGTAAAATAAAAAACAATTCAACAAATTAAAAATATGCTAACAACAATGAAAGGACTAATAATGGAAAAAAAACATTAATGCTAATGTGTAAACATAATTAGTGTAGTGATAAGTAGACAATAATCATATCATATCTAATTATAGACAAATAATCATAATCTAATCATAGACAATAATGGTACATATATAAAATTAGCTTTGAAATTGAAAATTTCAAATAAATTTTAAAGAATAATGATCTGTTTACATTTTTTAGCCGACCCAATATTTTTTAAAAACTTTGGCATATAAAATTCACCGAATGGTCACACACGAGCAGTGAAGGCCTGAGGGAATTGTGTGTGTGTGTGTGTGTGAGTGTGTGCACAAAAACAATTATTTTAAAACTTCCATTTTATTTTAGGTAAAAGGTGTATGCATCAAAAAGCATTAGAAGCAGATTTTCTTAACATGCAAAATGAAGTATTATTAATTCAGCAGATCATACTCTTTACTTTTTTTTTTTACATTTCAGTAATTATTTAACTTTTTTTTTTTTTTTTTTTTTTTTTTTTTTTTTTTTTTTTTTTTTTTTTTTTTTTTGTTTATGCGACATAATGGTCGCAAAAAGTGACCAACGGAGCCGTCCAGTTACGTAGACCTGGGAGATGTGAAAATAAAAACAGATTGAAGATGACGTCATATAGGTAAAAAAACATAAATTAATGCAAAGACTATTTAGTTGGAAGAGTAAAAGTAAGCAACTCAGGAAAAGGGGAATAAAAACTCACACTCTAGTCGTCTTTAAACAAATGATGAAATAATGATCTATGAGTAAACAAGTCAATAAAAATCCGCTGGTTTATAATGGTATTCATAACTAAAATAATCGCACCATACAAATGTCTAATAAATGTGGTACTATATATGTTCTAAACTCTAGATAAAAAATTGATAACTGATAATCACCTGTGTAACATAAAAAATATATAAATGTCGTAAATGTACCAAATTCATAATAAAAAGCTCATAAAGCGCAATAATACATGGGTTTAAGAGGTAAAAAAATGTTGGTGCCATAATAACCAATTAGAATTAAGTAGTGGATAAATGGTGATCCCCCTCCTCAGGAATGCACTGCGATCACCAATGACGTTTCGGAGAGCCCGAGACCTGCACTAACGCCACTCGTCAGGGGCGTGTCCTTGCAACAGATCTCACCGCCTGCACTCTACGTCATGCTAGTCAATATTGCAATATAATAGGACTACACTACAAAAGCCAAAAAACCAATCCCTATCCCAGTTTTGAAAACAGCTCCAACATTCTTAGAGATCTCGTGAGGGTGGTGAGGAGTGCGCGTGGTGTGACCATAAATAGATATGTAAACACATATAAATATAAGGTACCCTAACATTAGAAGAAACAAACTTGTACACATGTACGTATGCGCGTGTGTAAATAAACAATTATAATGTGTAGAAATAACAAAAAGCGAATAGAAAATAGTAATTAATAATTAATAGTAACTTACCGTTTCTTTTATGGGTGAAATATGTATTATAAATATAATAAGTAAATACCACTCATAAGCATTGATACTAAGTTAGGATGTTTTGTGGTTAGTACGAAAGTAGTTAAACGAAAGTATGATAAAAAAATATATAACTCTAAATAGTATGTTCTAATATAAATCTTGCCTGGTAAGTAGAGACAATAGCTATCACACAATACAGACTCAGAGTAATAAAATAACGATTAGCCAGAGATAAAAAAATATACGAACATCAAATCAGTAGGCAGAAAATAATGAGGAAATAAAAAGATAAGCCAATATATGCGATTTTAAACTAATAGCTTATAACCACTAAAAAATGTAACGTTAAAAAACAATATTGTTGACAAAACGACCTAAGGAACGTTAGTGAAGACTGTATAGTGCAAACCACAACAAACTAACTTAGCGACGTCAAATCGAGAAAATTAGATAGAAACAAAAAAACCTAACGAAATTGTGATTAGTCTAAACTTATCTAATGAAATTGTACAATGTACAATTTTAACTTGTACAATGAGTCACTTCAACAGGTCCTCAATCATTTCTTGGACTCAAAGTCTGTCTCATTAATTCTCCTTAACAGACTTTTTGTTTTAGACTATTCATTTGAGATTACAGATTGTTATTTTTTGTAATCACTAATCAAAAGCTTTCACAACAAGTCACTCCAACAGATAATCAATCATTTCTTTGACTCGAAGTCTAAAAAGTCTTAATCAACAGCATTTGTTCTTTATCTAAACTTTATCAAGAGGTCATAAAAAAAATTTCAAATAAATTTAAAAGACTAATGATCTGTTTACTTTTTTGCCAATATTGTTTGTGTGTGTGTGTGTGTGTGTGTGTGTGTGTGTGTGTGTGTGTGTGTGTATGTGTGTATTTGTGCTTGTGCACAAAAACAATTATTTTGAAACTTCCATTTTACTTTAGGTACAAAGGTGTATGCATCAAAAAGCATTAGAAGCAGATCTTCTTAACATGCAAAATGAAGTTTTGGCTAGGTATTATTAATTCAGCAGATCATACTCTTTACTTTTTTTTTTTACATTTCAGTAATTATTTAACTTGTTTTTTTAGTAGGAGGCAACAAAAGCTTCAACAAGAATTGATCGATGCAGCAAACGAACCTATTTTTCTACCACCTGTGTAATAAATAAAACAAATCATTAAATACTTACATTAAATAGTTATAATTTATATGCATGATTTTTATGGCCATAAAATATTTGAACTTATAAAGATTGGTGGTGGTTGTGGGTGGTATTAGTAAAACTAGACACAACCATCTTATTGGAAGGAGAGACCATTTTATTTTTCTGTTTTTCTTAACCCTTAACATGATGCATTTGAATGTATACTGTGTATACTAAAAAGTTTATTTGGATGGTTAGTAAAAGCAGCTTTTTTAAAATACTTGATTCAACCCCCTAAATGTGTTTAATATAATAAAAAAGGACTGTGTTTAAAGATTTCGAAAATAAAAAAATGTTTTAGGCGGTTCCTCAAGACCTTTGAATATTTATTGGGTCCCTAATATTATTTTAAAAAAAGTTCAACCTGAATCTCAAAAAAAGAAAAATTATATCAAAATTTCAAAAATAATAATTATTTCATACAAAATGATCATTTTAGATTTGATTGGATAAAAACTAAGGTTTTTTATATTTAAAAAAAATATATTCATTTTACATTTTTTTTTTTATAACAAATTATTTTTAAGCTAAAAACCCATTAACATAACATTATATACTTTTGTATTAAAAACCCTTTTAGTATATAATAAGGTTTGTATGATCTTCTAAGAATATTTTTTATTCAAAGATTTTTTAAATCCAGTGTTATTTTATTATATTAAACAAATTTAGGAGGTTGGAGAATTTAAAAAAATTGCTTCTATGAACAACCTTAATGTCCATACATGTTTTTTTTTTATATAATTGTAAAATTTTAAATATATATTAAAACATGAAAAAAAAAAATTTACATTTTTTTAATTATTTTTTAGATCATTGAGCCCTGAAATTGGTAAGAGATCTTCAAGCTATTCTAACCTAGGAATGATCTGCTTAACTTCTGTCTTAGATCGACCCACACAATCAACAGTAAGTTCTGTTAATATAAGAATAAAGAGGAGCTTCTTTTATTCAATTTTTTATATAACATTTATCTTTTCTACACAAAGCATTTTTAAAAGGTTTGGTAAGATCTTGTTTAAGGACTAATACCAAGTATTATTATTAGTCCTTAAACAAGATCTTAAAAAGATCTTGTTTAAGGACTAATACAGATATTTAGCGGAAAGGATGCTAAGTATTTCTCTTTTACTATTCACCTTGAAAAGAAATAACAAATCTTTATAAATTGTACGAACAGAGTTTTTTTTTATTGACAAACTCTGTTCTTAAACAAACTTGGTTTTCTGTTTAAACAAACTTGGTTTGTTAAATAAAATGATCTTTTAAAATCAGTAGAACAGTTTTTAAAGAGTCAAATGTACTTTTAAAGATATGCAATTTAGTATTTTATCATTAATTAGCATTAATGATCATTAATTAGCGTTATTATGTTTTCTTTTTTATGGTTTATATATAAATATATATCTATAGTTGTGACTAAGCAATTCATTTAAATGTAGCATCTGTAGTTCTGTAATGTGCATCTCATTTAAATGTAGCATCCATAGCTTTGTGCCTAAGCAACTTATTTAGATGCAGCATGCATAGTTTTGTAACTAAACAACTCATTTAAATGCATGCATAGTTTTGTAACTAAACAACGTATTTGAAACACTCTACAGTGTAGCAACTGTGACACTTATGTAATTTTTGCAGGAAAAAAATTTGGAAAAAGGATATCAAACTTTCTGGTTTTATTCTACTTTGCAGGCTTGTATATTTCTATTGTTGTTGTCATTATATTACACGTTTTCATTAAATGCAAATTTCTTTTTTTTTTAATGTCAAATAGGAGTGCCATGAAGGAGAAGTCATGACAGTGCGTTTTAGTCCTTCTGGAAAATACTTTGTAACAGGTGGTTCAGATCGAAAAGTTAAAATCTGGGAAATAGATGGAAGAGGTATATTTTTTGACAATAAATTTTTGTATATAATTATGCAAATAAATATATAACATTTATAAAATTTAGATAAAAATAAATAGATAAAATTTGTACATAGGCCTTGTTATAAGATTTTATTGTGTAATGCAAGTAAATGTAACTTTATAAAATATACATATGTCGTTAAAAGTTAAATTATCTCAATATCATATTTTAAAGTACTGCATTGTAATTAATTTTAATTTGAAACCACGTTAAAAATCATTAAAAGTGATATCTTTAAATATCTTTAAATTAAACAATACTTTTGTAAAAAAAATTATAAATGAAATTTATATGTTGTTCGAAAAAAAAAAATTTCCTTATTTTAAAAAAGTTATACTTATTTAATTGTATTTTAGAGTAATTTAGTTAATCACTTGATAATTAAGTTTTATTACATTCATATTTTATTTATGTAATTAAGTATGTCTAATTAAGCTGACTTACTGAGTAATTCAGTTGCGAGTGAGTATAGTGAGTCAAAGATAAATGTTAAAAATTGCTTAAGGCTTTATCATTGAGCTTCACAAAAGAGTTAGGAATTTCACACCACATTTCTTATTGATGTTGCAAATATAGCCATAGCTAACATTCAATCACAGACCTCTTGATAAAGAGGCAAGTGGTCAAATATTCCTGTTAGAAATACAATTTTTTTTTTTCCTGTTAGAAATACAATTTTTTTTTTTCAATGTGGATATATATTTTTCAATGTTTGTAAATAAATACAATTTTATCTCGATACTAAATTTATTTTTTATAAGAAATTTTTGCTGGATTGTTGTGACCAGCCTCTTCAGGTTAAAAGTTTTTTGTTTGTTTTTGTTTATATGTTATTTTTAAAAATTGCAGTTCTATTTTATGTCAATGATTTATGGATGGTTTTGTCTTTTTCTGAAATAAGTGCGCTAGAAATGTTGTCCGAAATTTTGTTGACATATTGTCCCGTATCTAAATTTTTTTATTATTATTATTATTTTCATCATTTGACACATTTTACAATGTTAATCTTACATTCAAATAAATTTATACAATTACAAGCTGACTGCGGGAAGTAGAAGACAAAATGTCTTATCATCAAGCCCCTTCGTGAAAATAGAAAAAAATAAAATAAAATATTACAACTTCAAATAATATATAAAAGAGTGAAATTAAAAAAAGTATAAAAAAAAAACAAATTATAAAGTTTGAAAAATTTAAGTTTTAAAAAAATTTTTTTAAGTTTGACAAAACTAAAAAGTTTAAAAATAATAAAAAATTTAAAATGTTTGAAAAAAACTATTTACAAATTGGTACATATGCGTATACATATTCAATAAACTTCATAATATATATTTAAATATACAAAAGATGTTTTAAGTTTTAAAAGATTCCGAACATTTTATAGATTTAAATTCATCATTCATATTTTTTTTAAAAACAAAATTAAAACAGACAAACAAATAGAAACAAGAAGAATATATATATATAAATACATAAGAAGGAAGTGTATATATGTATATATATATATATATATATATATATATATATGTATATATATATATATATATATATTATATATATATATATATATATATATATATATATATATATATATATATATATATATATATATATATATATATTATATATATATATATATATATATATATATGTGTGTATATATATATATATATATATATATATATATATATATATATATATATATATATATATATATATATATGTGTATATATATATATATATATATATATATATATATATATATATATATATATATATATATATATATATATATATATATATATTACAGGCCTTGTTAAGAAGCGTTACGCAGCTCGCATTTTGCCTGTGAAAAGGCGATTTGCCTACGCGTTCAGTAGTTATGCGTTACGCAAAAACTTATCTTTTAGAATATTTAAATTATCTTTTTATATCGTTTATGTGGCGTTCATTCGGAAGTATTAAAGTCGTTAGTAAAAGCATTTAACCGCAATATTAAACTAATAGATTTTTTGTTAAAGAAACAATTTGCTTAATAGTTTTTAAAAATTACTTGAAGAAAATAAAGTGTTTTAAGTTTAACCTTTTCATCATATTTAATTTTAAATATTAGATTTCATAAGTTTATAAACAATCAAATTTAAAAAAAGAAATATTTTCAATTTATTTTATTAAATTTAAATATTTTTTTAATAATTATAGTTTTTATTAAATAAATTTATTAAATTTAATTAAAATTTATTCATTTAATTTTAAAACAGAGCATTTTAAAATTTGTTAATTTTAAAATGCTCCGTTTTTTTTATGATAAAATTACCAAAGTAGAAAAAGATTTAATAAATTTAATTCAAGTTACTTTAAAATGTTCGTATTACATATAACTTTATTTTAATTTTAATTAAGTTTTAAGTAAGTTCCAAATACTGGTCTGAATAATGCGCTTAACAAAAGCACATTATTTTCCAGTTTTTATTTTTCCATTATTTTACAGTTTTATTCGTTATTTACAGAAGCGCATTATTCATTTTATAACTACAAGTTAATAAATGACGTCAATACTTTTAAACTCGAGTTATAAATGTTATGTTTGGGTTTTCTGTTTGCCGAAGAATTTTTTTTTATAAAACAAACCAAGGGCGTATTAATAATAATAAGTCCTTGAACAAACTAAAATTCAAACTTTTTAAAAGTAACGCTATCAGTAAAATAAACTCTTTAAAAGCCCAATTTATCTTTATTTTATTTTAAAAACAAAACTAGTACTTGAGCTATAAATATAAGATACATAAATTTCAAAATTATAATGATGTTTGTTAAAAACAAATTCTGGTTATAACATCTTAAAACCGAAAACACTATTTTTTTTTTTTGGATTGAGTAAAAAAATATTAGGTTTCGCTGTCCATAAAAATAAAATATTTTAATGGAAATAAAAAAAAAACAAAGCCGAAAAAGCAGTAAATTTCGTTTCTTTACAACATTTATTTTATCAAAACCAGTTAGTACAAACGTTTTTTTTTAAAGGGGAAAACCCAATATATCTAAGTACATTTAAATCCCTTCAAGAAAATCAACCATAAACAAGTTTTAAATTTAATTTATTTAAAAAAAAAATAAAAAAAAAACAACCATAAAACGAATGTTTAAAAGCAAAAAAATTAAGTTTAAATAAGTAAGACTTTTTTTTAATCAACATTGAAATTTTTTTTTTTATAACAACATTGTTCAATTTAAAGCTATTTCGTTTCAAAGACTAACAATAGTTTTTAATGTCATTTTAAATTTAATTACAATGAAGTAAAAACGCAACTGACGTAAATTAACTTTTAACAATGTAAATATATTTGTTGAGTAAAGTTACATTTATTCACGTTTCGCTTTTCCGTTACGCAGCGAAATCTCGTAACAAGGCCTGATATATATATATATATATATATATATATATATATATATATATATATATATATATATATATATATATATATATATATGTATATATATATATATATATATATATATATATATATATATATATGTAACTTTACTCAATAAATATATTTACATTGTTAAAAGTTAATTTACGTAATTTGTGTATGTATATGTATATATATATATATATATATATATATATATATATATATATATATATATATATATATATATATATATATATATATATATATATATATATACATACACATACACACTGTATGTATTTATATATATACATACATTTTTTTTTTTTTTTAACATCTTCGCTTCCAACAAGGCTACAAGCAACTACTGATTAATGTTGGAAGTTACTTGAAGAGAAAAGATGAAGATTGTAGAGCAAGATAACGATTGACATACGAATTAAAAGATTGCAAATTATATGAATCAGGAAAGCAAGATGAAGGAAGTGAATTCCAAAGAACTGATGTTCAAGGAAAAAAACTAGACAAATAAGAGTTTTTGGAGCACTTAGGAACAGTAACAGAAAAAGGATGAGACTTAATTGAATGACGAGTAACATGAGATGCCACCTTAGATGTGAGAATATCTGGAAGATTGTTAATGTAAATTAAAAAGAGTATAGGGCCAAGGATTGAACCTTGAGGAACCCCTGAGGTTATAGAATCAAAAGAAGAGTGCTGTCCATCAAGGACAACTTATATACTATGATTGGAAAGAAAGAATTCAATAATCATAAAGATGTTTCCAGATACACCGTAAGAAGAAAGCTTATGGAAAAGACCAGCTTGCCAAACTTTATCAAACACTTTAGAAATGTCAAGAGCGATGACCTTAACCTCTCCACCTTTATCTAATGCGCAAAAAAACCTATAGGTTATTACTGCTAGCAAATCAGCCGTAGAACAAGAAGATCGAAATCCATATCGATGATCAGAATATAAAATATTAGATTCAAAATGAGAGATTAAGTGATTGTTAAATAAAGATTCAAAAACCTTGTTTATGATAGGAAGAAGACTAATGGGACGGTAGTTAGACGAATCAGGTCGCTCTCCAGAATTTTTAAAAATAGGGAGAACAGATGCTGCTTTCCAGCAGGCTGAAAAACAAGACTCTGATAAGCATTTGTTGAATAGTTTTAAAAGGATACACGACAGCTCCGGAGAACACTTCTGCAAGACTAGGTATGTTGTCCGGGCTGCAAGCTGTAGAAAAGTCTAAGCAGGAAATCACTTTAGATACAGAAGCTGGAGTGATATGGATGTTGAGCAATGGATCAAACTAGTGGAATCAAGAAATGATATTGATGAAAAGTTCTTAGCAAACAATTCAGCTTTGTCTTTAGGTAAGGTGACAAAGTCTGAACCATACATAAGAGGTGGAAACATATACGTATATATATATATATATATATATATGTATATATATATATATATATATATATATATATATATATATATATATATATATATATATATATATATATATATATATATATATATATATATATATATATATATGTATATATGTGTATATATATATATATATATATATATATATATATATATATATATATATATATATATATATATATATATATATATATATATATATATATATATATATATATATATATATATATATATATATATATATACAAATATTTTTTTTAATTAAAAAAATGAAAGAATGTACTGTTTAGATTTAGTAAGCGTTTTTTTATAGCTCTTTTAAATATATCAATAGATTTTTTTTTCATATTTTCGTCAAGAACCAAGTTCCACAAGCGTGGTCCTCGACATGTAATTGAGAAGTCAGATTTTTTAAGTAATGTTAGTGGGATTTAGTATTTATTTATTGAGTGTCTTGATTTATATTTATGATTAATAAGAGAGAAGTTTTTATAAAAATAATTTGGAATTAATTTGTTTTGAAGTTTAAACATAAATAACAAATTATGGTAAATGTTTAATTTGTATACATTTAGGACATTTATTTCCTTGAGTAATGGCTTGTCACATTTGTATCTATCCATGCCTGAAACTAATCGACTTGCTTGCTTTTGTTTTGTATAAATAGGTTTTCGGAAAGATGAGTGATTATTTGCCCAGGCAATATTACAATAGCTAATATGACTATGTATAAACAAAGAATATATATTTCTTAAACATATTTTATTCAATAGAGGTTTAGTCTTATACATTGTCCATAAAGTCTTTAAGACTTTGTTTTCGATTAGCTTTATTTGGCTTTTCCAATTTAATTTATGTTAGTACTGTGTTTACATTACAAAAAATATTTTTTAAATTTGAGTCAGAAAAGAAAACATTAGTGTTGTCATCAAAAATAATATAATTAAGTATTTTTGATGACAAATAAATATCATTAATTTAATTTAAAAATGGCAAAGGTCCAAGTATTGATCTTTGTGGAACTCCACAACTTACTGACTTAATTGGGGAGCATGTAAAATCAAATGGTAATACTTGTTTATGATTTTCTAAATTGATACCATTTTGTTGAGGGGCACATTTGTAGTACTATATTTCAAGTGCCTCACAAACTTTTTTATCAAACTTTTTAGCATTGACTTTTAGAGTTCTGCAACTGTCCCAGTTAATTTGTTGTGTACAATGTCTCATGTATGTGGCTAATGCAGATCGTTCTGTTTTATTTCCTATTGTACTATTTTTGTGTTGTTGCATGCATGTTTTTATTTGCATTTTTGTTTCACCTATTCACTTTTTGTTACAATGACATTTAATAAGGTAGACTCCTGGGTGACTGTTCATTTTTAGTTTGGATTTATTTCTTAATGTTAATAATGTCTCCAGGTTCAAGTTTGATTTAAAGTCTGTTTTATATCCTGCCTTCCTAAACACTTTACGCAATTTTGGAGACAATTTTGGTATCCAAGGTAACAAAATGGTTGGATACGTGCTGGTGATGTTGTCAATGTTTTTAGTAGTCACTGGAGATTTTTTGTACTTTTGTTTTATTTCTTTTATGATTTTCATGAGATTAGACTGTTTGTAGCCATTTTCGACAAATACTTGATTAAGGAATTTCAGTTCATTTTCTATATGTTTCTGACGGCATACATTCAATGCTCTATGTACGAAAGCCTTAAATATTCCATTTAAAATTTGTGGGTCATGGTTTGATGTTGCCTTAACTTCCAGACGTAAAATAATAGTAGTTTTATTATATGCATCTTTCTGCAATTTTTATCAAGCAAATTTTTTTTTACTTTTAAATGATTTTTTAAATGATTTATTTATAGGTTCATAATATAGTTAAAGAAAAAAAATCAGTCTTAGATTTAAAGTGTTGCGCTAGACTAGTAAAAAATGCAATAGTATGCAAACAAGGAAAAGAATTGTTGATCAATTTTTTTAATGTGTAAAAACGTGTCGTCATTAACAATTGTCATTAACATTAACAAGATCATTAATTTAAAAGTTGAAAAAAAAACTTTTATTTTTAATTTTTATTGATGTCAGTTATTCTCTATTTAAGGTTTTTCAATAATGTTTAATAAAAATGTTTAATAAATTATTTTAATAATTTAATTTTTTTATTCAAAAACTCTTAATTTACATTTTGTCTGTTTATCTAAAGTAAGGAAAGTTACAGAGAAGTTTGCATATTAATAAATGATATACTTTAAAATAAGTTTATAAATTTTATTATAAAAGATTTATTAACACTTTCAGTAAAGTAAATTAGCTGGTAAAGTAAACCAAAAATAACAACAACAAAAAAATCAACAAAAAAATCTTGCAATGAAACGTATTATCTGTTATATTTGCGTAAAAATTTACATGTATATTTAAAGTTTAGTTATGTAAGTTATTTTTAGTTTTTAGCGCCACCTCAAGGCGGTAAGGTATTGGTTTTTGCAAGGTTTTTTAAACCTTAACTATATTCAAGGTTTAAAAAAGCGCACACCTCGCAGCCTTGAGGCAGCGCTGTTTTAAACATTGGGGTTGCCAATCATTTGGTCTATAGGAAATAAAATACAAACCTGTAAAAATATTTTTTTTTTACTGTGTTTTCCTTTGTAAAAGTCGAAATTCTGGCAATCCTACTTATAATGTATAGTGTTTTTATCAACAGTCATCAATTAAAAAGTCGTTTTAGCAATTTTTACTTCTATTTTCTTTTTCTTTTTCCTATATTTTTTATCTTTTATTTTATCTTTTGTTTTATCTGTCTGTATATTAAAAAAGAATGAATGAAGGTGAGGCTTAAAAACTAAGAAAAAATGAAATTGGATTAAGCTAGTCTACTTCAGTATTTAAACAAAAAATATATTAGAAATAAAATTGACTTTATAAGCTGCTAGTTTCTAAAATTAGATATATTGATAATGAATAAAAATGTCTTTTATTACAGGGGGTTGCTTTATATTTTTCATGTAATTGTCAGAGTTTACTTTATAGTTTTTACAATTTTAAAATTATGGATTATTAGAAACAGTTTTTTAAAATATACTTGTATTTATAAAAATGAGTTTTTTGTTTTTAAACAAATTTGCTTCTTTATCAGATCTGCAGTAAAAAAAAAAAATCCTGAAAAAAAAAATTGCGTTTTTCAAAAAAAAATTTTTTTTTTGAAAAACTTGATTTTTTGCCAGAAAATTTCCGTTATATTACAGAAAAATCAGTCACTTGTTAACGGAAATATCCTTTTAAATACGGAAATATCTGTTATTCCGATGATAGATATTTTCCGTAATTTATACGGAAGTTTCCTTCCACACTTTATTTTTCCGTAAAATAACGGAAACTTTCTAGGAAAGCTAAACAAAGGCAGTTTTAGTAAATATGGTAATCTGTTTGGCTTGTTAACTATTAAATTTTGAAGGCTGTATATTATCATTGTTTTATTTTTAAGTTTGAAAATCCTCTGGAGTAAATTTAAATATGTAGGCAATGCAATGCAAATGAATTTCATAGTGTATGTAACTACATGCAATGCAATACAAACAATTTTAAAATGTATTTAACTGCATGCAGTGCAATTCAAATGACTTTTAAAAAATAATTAATGCATTTCATTTAATGAGTTTTCTTTATTTTTTTGCTTTTGAATTCAGGAAAAATTGATCTTGGCTTCGTCAAATAATAATGCTTGTTGGATATGGAGTATAAATGATTTAAGATTACGAGTAAGTTACCATTTTTATCAGTATCTAGATAGATACTAAAATATACTATATATTATCAATTTTAATGTGCCATTAGTTTTTCTGAAATCTCTGTATAACACTATATATGTATATATATATATATATATATATATATATATATATATATATATATATATATATATATATATATATATATATATATATATATATATATATATATATATATATATATATATATACAGGCCTTGTTTTAAAGCGTTACGCCTAGAGCGATTTACGTACGCCTTAAGCGCTTTTTACGTACGCCTAGAGCTGTTTTGGTTAAGCTACTTTTTATCATTTTTTAACTTTTAAATTAGCGGTAACATAAAAGAAAAAATTAATTTTCAAAAAAACCACATTAACTTTTAAATAATGATATGTAAAGGTATTTATTAAAAAAAAGAATTTACTTTAAAATTAATTGTTGTAACTTTTCATCGCGATATATCTTTCCTTTTTATAGCAATTAATTTGACGCTAAACTTTTTATCCAAATTTTTAGCAACATGAAAAATTGTTTGTCAATCCTTAACTACAAATTTTTTGGAATGTTTTTAATAAAAAGTAGTAAAGTTTTTAGTAAAAAACTTTTCAAAAATCTATATTCTATATTTATTAATTCAGAATATAAAAGTTTTTTGTAATATAGATTTTTTATGAATTTTTTACTGAATTTATAATAAAAAACATTTGCAAAAAAATTTGTAATTATGAATTGACAAATTTTTTAATAAAATCTCAAAAAATTTCTTAATATTTTTGTTATCATGATAACAAAAATATCAAGACATTTTTTCGAGATGTTAAAAAAATGTCTTTGCTTTTCTTATTAGTTTAATAGTATATAGCTTATAGTTAGTTTAATAGTATATAGCTTTTCTTATTAGTTTATTAGTATATAGTTTAAGTTATGCGGAGGGAAGGGGTCGGCACAGAAAAAAAAATTACCTGTTACTCGCAATATTTGAATGAAGACAATTTGTTAAAATTCTTCTGCGTGCGATTCAATAAGTTTTTTTTGTCATAAATCAAGTTATAATATAAGGTAAAGAAATCATGAGTAGACTACAACATCCGCTGATGACACTAATATTACGTTGAATATATTTATATAACGGAGATTTTATTATGCACGCGCACATTACAGGTTCCGTTAAATAAATACTAAGGCACGTTTTAGTTTAATGACAGTCTCCATTTTTTACTAATGAATATGTATTTTCTTTATAAAACAAAACAAACTAGTATATAAAAACCTTGTATATTTCTATTATCTCTAAATTATTTAAAGTTCGAATATGGATTGTATTTTGAAGGACAAAAGATTTACTTTAAAAACTTTTAAATCTTGGGACTTTGCCGATGCGATGATCACAGAAAAAGTGAAGACTTACGTTATTAAAATCAAATGTAAGTTATGTGATCTTCATCAAAATAAAATAATATCCAAAAACAATAGTGCCGTAAGGGCAACTGCCCAACGGTTTATAAATAATACAAGTCATCTTAAAATATTTTAACATGTTACTATATTTTAATTAAGTTGATATATAATTAAAAATAAAAATATAGTTCAATAAATAAATTAAATTTATTCTTAACAAAGATTACCTCATTTTTATTCTTTTTTTTATTTTATTAAGTTAAATTGCTTACAAACGAAAAAAAAAAAGAGTTTTGTAATTATACGTAGAATGAAAATACTTTTGAGTTTGTTTATAAGTTAGGAACTTAATTTTTAATAAACAAATTTTTACGAACGTTTATTATAAACAGATACGATTCAAATTATTAAATATACTTAAATTATTTCAGTTGAGTATTTTAATAAGTTTGCACGATTAAAGTTTGGCGTACAAGTATTTGTTTTTTTGTTTTAAGAATAATTAATAAAAGAGTTTGCATAATTAAGACTTTTATATTTAATTTAATTTTTTTTTTAATTCCTAAAATTAAAAAAAAAAAAAAATTTAATCGTTGAAAACGATTTTTCTCTATAGCTCTGTTTCTTTGTAATTTGTTTAAAAAGTTAAATATTTTTACAATAACATAAAAAGTTTATGAATTAAATTCCTAGCGAACGCGTTCTAAACTATGTATAAAAAATACGCTTCAAAGCAGACAAAACTTTTTTATATTTTTATAAAACGCAAGTTGAAACGCTTTTAAAAATTTTAAAAATATTTAAAAACTTAAATTTTTCTTTGCTAGTCAAAACAAAATCGTTGTTTAAATAATTAACATGGGTTTGTGTTTATCAATGTTAATATTTTTTGTTTACTCCAGAAATTTTTAAAAATAAAAAAAATCATTATTATTTTTTATTCAATAACGATTAAAAACAATTATTCAAAAACAAATTTCAGAAATAATATATATATATATATTTTTTACTAAATAATATTGAACTAAAATTAATAATAAAATAACAGTTAATTGTTAAATTGAATTAGTTTGCGGTTATTTATTTATTGCGGTAGTTAAAACACTTAACGCCTATAAAAAAATTAAGGATAATTTTATGATGTCAAAATCGCGTTAAGCTAATGCATTAAGCACTTTTTTATATAAACAAGGCCTGATATATATATATATATATATATATATATATATATATATATATATATATATATATATATATATATATATATATATATATATATATATATATATAATATATATATATTATATATGATTTATATAATATTTCTTTGCAAACACCAATATACTATTCTTAGAATTTTTAAGTTTTACTGAACTAAATTTAACTAATGAATTTTAATTTTCACTGAACTGCAGTTACTTTTAATCTTTTTGGTTTAATGACTTTTTATAAAAGCTTTTAAAGTCTAATTCATTTCATAATTTTCGTTGTATCATCCACATAATTATTATTAAATTTTTTTCTCATTAAGTTTCAGACATTTTTCAGACCATTTGCAGCTTACTAGGACTAGTTACCTGAGCTCATTAATAATATAAGTATCTCGATCATGACACATACGCAACAAATTTTTTCTCCTGGTGTTTCGATGTTTTTAGCTTTTGTAAAAATCTTTTTGTTAGTAAAAGTGTATAATATCGTTACATGTTTGTATATAACCTATCTCTTTAAAACTTTAAAAGTATTTTGTATTTTAAAATTATCGAAAGAAATTAAAAAAATAAAAGTCACCAGTGGTAGGACTTGAACCACAGCTTTTTTGTTTAGAAGCTCTGCACGCTATTCACTCAGTCACGCTGGCACATTTCAGGGCTCAAATTAAGTGATCGCGAATATCCGGAAATATCTGTGGTCATTAAATTCTTATTTTTTTTAAAAACCGTAAACACTGTTTTAATGAATTTATTAAAACTGTTTTAATGAGTTTATCATATTGCAATTTTTAATGAAAAAGAAAAACAATAAATTTACTACTGCAGTAATAATAACAGTCAAAATTTGTATATTATTAGTTATTGTTTTTTAATTAATAATTAATAATATGTAATTTAAGGATTATAAATAAAAAAAGTTGCAAGACAAAAATTATTATTACTAAAGTTACGAAAAACTTTTGCGGTAATTTAAAAATCAACCAATGAAAAACTATGCTTAAGCCATTTGCGCAATGTATGAAACTATGTATAACAGAAAACAATTAAAAAGTATGCTAAAGCTACTTGCACATTATATAAAACATTAAAATAGATTTTTATTTAGGGGGAAAGTTTATGGAATTGTTTATTTAAAAATTTAAATGTTTCGAATTAGAATTTAATTATTTTAAGAAAAATAATTTTTTAAATATGTTATTAGAGTTTCTTTTTGTTTTTTTTTTTAAAGTAACTATTAAAAAGTTTAAATTAGTTTTTATATATTAACTCCTCCATCTTTTGATTTTATATTTGTATCAGCCTAAGCGTTAAATTTATAATAAAATATTGAATGAGATTTAAATAAGATATAAAAGTATTTTATATCTTATTTAACAATTTCTTTTATTTAAAATATTCGATCACTGTTAAAGTCCTTTAGATTGTTGTGATTAGTGCTTGTTTTTTAATATTTATATCGTACATTATCGTGCTTTATTTTTCTAGTTTTATCTGATGTTTAATAAAATAAATTAAAATATTAAAGTTTAAATATATATGTATATATATATATATATATATATATATATATATATATATATATATATATAATATATATATATACATACATATATATAAATATATATATATATGTGTGTATATATATATATATATATATATATATATATATATATATAATATATATATATATATATATATATATATATATATATATATATATATATATATATATTTGTGTGATTGTTATTTTTTTACGTAACAATTTTATTTAAAGGGATCCCCTACTGCCAAGACAAGTTGTGTTCATATTTAAGAAAATGATTAAAATTAAAATTTTGGGCTGATTTTTTTTTTTTGGAACTAAATAATAAACGCATACCAACAAAATTAAAGTTATCGTGTTAGTCGAAGCTCGCCTTCTTTATCTTTTTTTGGTTCTAGGAGTCTGTATAATGTTAACCGTAATCTGCAGACTTGATAATTTATTAAATGCATGTTTAATTCACTACAGCTTCAGTATATGATGTCATCACAATGTCTTTTTAAGATAGCCTTTTTTTGTTATAGTATTTTTAAAGATAAAAGTATTTTTTCTACTACAATGAGAAAATCAAATATTTGTATAGTTTATTACTAAATCACAAAAAATATTTATGATTTAGTAAAAAATTATACAAATATATATATTTTTTTATATTTATAATTTTTTTTTTTACTTGCTTTATTTTTACTTTGTTTTAGAAGCCAGCCAAAATCATGACACAGTTTTACATATTTTGTGATTATTAGAGTTTGCAGGCAGAGAAAAAATAAAGGCAGTATGATGCGGTTTCTCGTTTTATATTTAGTTCATATGGTTTAATAGAATTGTTCGATAA